TTTCTTTTCGAAACATACCAAATAGACTGCATTGAGCTTAAACATTAGACCAAAATAGAGTCGACCCGAGCGTCATGAAGGCATAGCAAACACTACGTGAGTACTACAGCTCGACAGCGCACTTGATCGTGAAAATAACGCGAACACTCCACTCTGGTGGTACATCTTTGACAAAAAACTATGGGTCCTTTGAAGAGCGGGTTGTGAGACTCTAGACAACGGATGAGCCAGTTGCGAATGTTTTTTTTTCACTAGCCTGACGTTGGCATATGATTCAATTTATTTTTTTTCGAAAATGCGGGGAATATCACCTTGGATGAAGTCATGGAAAACTGCTCAAGAAATCCACAAAATCGTACGGATAGGAGGCTACAGAGAAAACGTCCTCGTAAATGGGAATGCAGAAAGATTCGAAGGGGTGGATGAGGCAATATTCGGAGAGGTGGCGATTCACGCAGTGATAGCAAATTTAAGGACAAGTATCTTAGTTGTTGATTATGTTAGTCACATGAAGCGGAATTGTCTGGCCGGAAAATCGATCTAACAGCAATGAGATAGTATTTGCGGTGGGCGTAGGACGACCAGGAGTTTGGATTATCGACAGTAGCATCACCGCCCGCATAACTCCGCACATGATTGGCTTGTGCGAATGCAAGGACCGAGATACAAGCATGGAATTGACGATTGCAAGCTGTGCATCATTCTTCTTCAAAGGAGGCAGCACTAAAATCTGACCAGCTTGGGTGCAAAGGAGATTCACATGGTTAAGGTTAAATATATTCCGAAACTTGACAGAAGATATTTGTCGGTTGGCAAGCTTGTGTAACGCGAAAGGGTGCAGAGATTTTTTATGCGTCGTGAAGCTTGGGGAGGGAAAAAGCGATTGCATAGAATTGAGAATGAAAAATCTGACATGCTCGATTGTGAGCATAAAGAAGGATGTTACGTTTAGTATAGTAGGACTGATACTCATTTCGAGCTTTGGTATGCTCGCATGGGGCACTCAAGCAAGGACGCTTTAATCAAGACAGTGCGGTCAACCAAAGGCACTCGATGGTCGAGCTAGAATCCGAACAAATCGTGTGTCGGGTGTCCGAAGGGCAAGCTGACAACCACAGTATATCTCTCACGTTCAATGACTAAGTCGACACATGTTCTGGAACCATGCACACAGATATCATGGGTTTAACGGGGATTCCCTGGGAGGAAGGTACAAAATCTATCGCCGCTTTCGTGGCTTCCTATTAATGAGTAGAGTCACTGAATCCGTGACCCGTACATAAAGAGGATTTAGCGCGGTGAGCACTTTCTGCTTGTGGAATAGATAGAGTGTGTATCGCCGGGCGAAGACAGATGTGTTTGATGTGGTCTCGGGGGGGTGGCTGGGACCGTTCTTATCGGAGAATTCCTCGAATCCCTCATCGACAGTTGCTTTAAGCTCGTCGATTGCGCTGACCGTGCTTTATGCTAGGTAATATTGGTACAGTGAAGCTAGCATTCGGTGCATGTATGCACATTAGAATCGAAAATTTGGTCCTGCTCCTGGTGAGAGCGCACGAGCCCAACGTCTGTGCGTCAATAGATGTGGACTCTAAGATCCTAGGTTTATCCGCGCAAAATACATGGTAATCCTATCGCAAGAGCAAACTGAAATAATAGTGCGCTTGTATTTTGGCTTTGGTTGATGCGCATGACTTCAACCTCTCTTTTGTTGTTCACGCGGACTCTAAGAATCAAGAATTCCTTTGTCCTAAATTCATGAAAACCCGTTGCTGATGCATATTGAACGATCAGTTCATGTCTCGATGCCACACGCAAACCGTTGTCGTGATCGACGAGAAAGATCACTGAATGACTATCACAGGTCATCAATTTGAGCAAGCGGTTTACCTAGTTACACAACTGGTACACGCGCAATATCCCTTATTTTTCAATATCAAAAATATCAAATGTCGTTTTATTACCCTGTATGTATCATACCTGGCTACCCTCCTCAACTCTTCATTTGTCATTGACATTAACATTCAATTAACAGCTTTGCTGCTTGGCGTAAGCGGGACCCGGTGCACATATACAGAAGCATAAATTTAAGCAAAACATAATTCGAATTTTTAAGCTACTCTGATTAACTTACTGTTTGTACCAATTGTCCCGAGGTCATATTTGGTACGTTTCTCCACTTTCTGATAGTTGTCGATCTTAAACGTGCATTGATCCATAGGGCGATTTCAATGGCATCAGCTATTCGTTTATTACGACTCCACTTCACAATCTTGCTACAGGTTTCACTTTCATCAAGAGAACAACTGTCACAGTTCGATTCGTGTCAATCCATGCGATTAATACCGAAAACCTAAATGCAGAGCTCCAAGTAGGTGCGCTTGTATGAGTTCACACCATCATCTTCAAGTACTGGATAAGCGGGTGTCAAGCCGTCCTGTCCATACATATACAACGAATTATAGATCTTCCAATACACCTCGCGAACACGGCGCGCCGGGTGAAACAAACCCTGAAGAACGTACTGCAGAATGACGTGTGGACCTAGTGCCACCCGACAGCCTTCCACGGCCTCAAATACGGCATTGATGACGTGTGGAGAGGTTTCAAAAATATTGGGCCACACGAAATTGAGCAAGTGAATGAGCGCATCTTCGCAACCTAAACCAGCAACACCGAGCGCCAAGTGTTTCACAGTGGTGCACGCTGTTTGACGATGCACTAAGTCACGATCCATGAGCGCGTCCTGCAGCAGTGGGGTCACTGCGTAAATGTAATCCTTGCCCATTTCACCAATGTACTCGAACATGAACGAAAATGCTTTTAAAACACCGTTTTGAACATTCAGCTCTGGCACACGATATTCGTTCATGAGAGCCGGAACAACAGTAAAGGGCGAGCACGTCTCCGCAACAATAGCAATGGCTACAGTTGTGCACACACGGTTCTGTCGCTCTTGAACCTTCAGATTGTTCAACAATGTATGCAATACGTCCTGAGGGCCAATTGCCTTGGCGATGTATCCAAATGTATTGACTGCAGCACGACGAATACCTTTCTTGTGCGCCTTCAGCATATCTAGCAATTCAAAACAAATGCGCATCCATTCTCGAGCTGATACTAGATCTGCACCACGATCGGCAATTCGTCCAACAAGGTCAATACAATTTTCTTGCACCTTTTCGTGGCGATTTTTCAGAACTGGAGTAAGTCGCGGCAGCAAATCTTTGATCGGTGGAGTCATTTTACTCATGCCAATCACATTCACAATAGCTTTTAAAGCTCCAAGAATGCTACCTAATACCTCGGGATACTCTTCACCCAGATATTCGTAGAGAACAACACCCATGTGTCCCATCAAGGGTTCCTGATCGCAAGTTTTCATAACCACAGCAATTCGATTGACCAGATCAGCTGCCTGCATGCGCACCTTAGCCGGCTTATTATTTAACCGCCACTTTATCGTACCACAGATCTGCGGTAAATAGTTTTTCGCGCGAACCCCCAAAGCATTGACGACAATGCCAAATCCATTAAGCATCACTAACGTGTCGTCGGACGTTTGCTCTTGAAAAGCATATAAGATTCCATCAATGAGTTTCTCCTCAAGATCTGTTCCAATATCGGTGGCACCCAAATTTTGGATAATGTTTTGAATCGCCTCCATCACCATGCGACGATACGGCTCACTCTCATCCTTCAGATCATCGACAACTCGCGAAATTATCTCGCTCGCTCCAACGTTGTTTGCGAGCTCAACTGTCGTCTCCACTAGCTGACGATAATTGCGTCTGTCAAGCGCCATGCGACGTACCCAGAAGTGCCGAAAAAATTCAGGTAAAATCTTTTCTTTGACGTACGAGGCTTCCACACCATCCGTCGAAACGCACTGCTTGACAACTTTCAAAACAATTTTCTTCATTTCCTCGTCAGGCGACTGAAATTCGCGAATTAAGATTTCCATCACTTCAACCGTATAGTAATTGGCATACTGAGCATCCATAAGCGGAATAATGAAGCCAATGGCTTTCAAAAAGGCTGCAAGACCTTTGCCGTGATGTTTACGTGTTCCACGCCATAGTGGACGCAGAACAGAGTCGAAAGACTCGATACCGTACGGATGCGCAGCTTCAGCAAGCGCAGCAAGGGCCAGAGCTGTGATCGTGCGCACCTTTTGATCGTCTTCAAGACCATGATCAATAATCTCCACAAGATGTTTCAAATGCGGTAGCACAGCACAACCCATCAAAATAGCAACTTGTTGCACAATCTTTATACCAGTGTGCCGAGCTTGCCAAGACTTTCTCGATTGGCATACAGCTTTCAAAAACGGCAATAATGCTGGAACACCAAGTGCTGATGCAACAACAGCGAATGCACGTGCTGTAGTGTTACGAACATACTCGTCGTCAATATCGATATCGGGGCGCATCGTCGATATCATCGTCGCGAGACCAGCAGCTTTAGCAAGATTTGAAATGATTTCCCGTCCTTCTACGCGAGCGTAATAGTCTTCGTCAATCAGCAGTGGCTCAATCACAACTAAGATCTTGTGTACATAAGGGCGCACTAGATCATCAAGTTTATAAAGCACACGGTCAATCACTTTGACGAGCAGATGACGTTCTTGATCTTCAAGCGTCGGAGCCATCAGCAATGGCAAAATCTGGTTAAACAATGCTCCGGCACCAAACTCGCGCGCCTTGTCTGTTAGCTGACGTAACGCTGTTTTTCGTTGTGGCGGAAGACCGTTTTTGATTTTAAGAAGCAATCGCATGATTTTTCGCTCTTTAGCATCTTCAGGATCTAAATCATCTTCATTTACTTCATCCATAAGCTTGCCAAAGTACTGATAGTCTTCTGGTTTGATAAATGGCAGAGAGCTTCCATCCGCACTCGATGGTGTGCCAACAGGTACACCATAATCTTCACGAGCAGGAGTCATTTGCATTGCAAAGCCTGGTGTCTGTCCCATCGGCGTAGGAGTAGAAAGTAGCTTTCTTGACGGTGTTCGAATCGGAACATACGATGATGGAGGATCGAGGATCTTATACCCAGTAGCTGGAAATAATGCATCAAGCTCTTCATCTGCTAATGGACGATTGCGCTCTTCAATTTCTCGTTCCCAGCGCAAACGCTGCGCTAACTCGGGTGTCAAAGTACCATTCATTTCCACTGCCATGACTCCTCCCGATGTTAAATATCCAGTCTTTCCCAGTGTACCCATATCACTCATCACAGGCGTCTCATCCCACCGTGAACGCTTTCCACTTCCTGATGGAGTGAGTCCACCCAAAGCTACGGGAGTTGCATCCCAATTCGACGCTCCATTGCTTGCTACGGGTGTTTCATCCCACCGATTCTTTCTACCTGGTGTAATAGACGATGCAGTCGGCGTAGCGTCCCATCTCGAGGAAGATCGTGTGGGTGTAGCCGCCACCGAGCTTGTTGAAGATTCTGACGCCGTGTCCCATTCTGATTGGCTCTCAACATCCGTTTTTTCAGCCAATGGGGCTTCTTGATCCCAGCGCATTCTCTTGCGGCGCCTCTTTGGCGTGGCGTCTTCCTCCTGAGACTTTGGCTGCTGTTCTTCCTGTTCTTCACGCTTCTGTCGAATCAAACGCACAACTTCGGCACGTTCTTGCTCAAGTTGTTGTGTGTGCATAATCTCCTTGTAACTACGAGCTGGTGTCTTGTCCCCAAAGGCGTCACCTCGCTCGGGTGACAACATGCGCTCAAAACGCCGCTTACGATACGCATTCTCGCGATCTACAATGCGCGTATTTACAATACCTGATCCATTTTCTTCCCGCGAATCAGCAAAAGGATCGTGATTGTCGTCAATGAGCCCATCGCTAGTCTTTGCATTCGATGCGTGAGAAGAGTGATCCTGTTTACGCTGCTCCTGCTCTTTTTCATCACCTTCTTCCATGACAGTCGTATTGTACCCTTCAAATCGATTACTACTTCCATATCCATAGATATCCTGGTCAAATTGCCCTGTCGAGGACAGACCAACACCCGACTTTTCGTCCTTCTCCGCCATTTAGTGGAGATTGTTGAACGCTTGAGCTTAAGAGGGAATAGAGGTTATAACCTCGGTCACTATAATCTCGAGTTTTATGTAGTACACATGAAATGATTTAATCTTTGAGACAATCTTTGGTGTGTGTTACATTTTACTAACCACCATAACAATAGAATTTATATATTTAGAAGTTTGTATCAGCCTCATGTCATTATTGAGGCAGTAACTAACGTGTCGGTCGTCTTGCTACACCTTATTATAATTGCTCTACTTCCGGCAATATTGCAAAACGCTCGTACACTTCCTTCTCTCGTACACTTCCTTCTCTCAACCGTATTTTAAAATCACAGGATAATCGAAAGACTTTTTGCTACGCTGCTAGTCAAACAATAAAGTAAAGATGATTTTTCCATGAAAAAGTGCTGATGTCGTTTGTTTGTCAAAAGCCACTTTGCATACGCAGTGTGACCGCTTGTGAATGGTATCGCCATCACCGCACAGAGCATCGTGCATCCGTCGAATTACGAAACATTTAGAGTCAACACAGAGTCCACTATCCTGATGGGATGGACAACTACTACGAGTCATAGCACTATTAACAATTGTCAATCTCGTATCATCAATATTCTCGTGCCCATTTTTAACATTCTCATCAGTGCTTAAAAATTGCAACTCGATCAACAAAATCTATCGTTTCTGGTACATCATATTCCTCAACAACTTCCACACACTCGTTTACAAACTTTGAATAATGTTCGTTATTTCTAGCTACGGGTTCTATTAATTCAGATCCAGCACATATTGCACATATCATCTATAAGATTACTGGCGTTTCTTACGGTAAATCAACTGGCTTTTTCCTGAAATGTTTCGCAAAGGACCAATTTGATACCTCAAAATTTCCGTAAGCTTCGTGAGATAAAAATTGCAAGCGAAATGCTGAAGCTTCACTTGACCTGACCGTCATTTATTTCTTGACTGGCATCGAAGAGCTCCCAGGTGGGACTGAAACAATCGCAGTGATTAAAAAAAAGATGGTGTTATTGCTCGATAGATCTTGTGAATTCCTCAAAACTTCATGTATCGACATTCTTCCAATCATATTAAAGAAGGTCAAGCAAATTCTTGAGCTTCATAACGTTCCACGAAGCGGCTTCGGTCTTGGTAGTGGGTAGTCGTAACTTATTGGTGGCAGTATTAGCTCGGCAATTCGTTGCATTAAAATCGAGTGTTTTATTTTATAGAGATTAAACGTCCTGTGACGGCTAAAAGCAAAACATGCGAATCACCATGCAGTAATCAAAGCCCTGCCTTGTAGCGAATGACTCGGCCGTTCTCATTACGCTTTTTAGCGAAACTCATCGACACCGAATTAAACGATATGATAGACCAACTGTTGATATATTCAATGCTTCAGTCTTCATTGCTGCTCGCCATGCCACTGCTTCACCACTTGCAACTGCATCAGCA